CCGGGAGGCCCTTTTGGCCTGGAGGCGGGGCCGGCCGGGCTAGGCCGCTTGGGCGCAGAACGGCGCGAGGTAACAGACGTCCCCGCAGTAACGCGGCCTAGGCTGGGCCTGGTTGTGAGGCGCGTGGGGCGGGGCGGGGCTGTGCGGCCGCCCACCTTCATGGAGACAGGAGCGGGGTAGTGCGGCTCAAGGGCAGTGCTGGACTAGCCTAGCGTGGAGCCGGGACAAGTGCTTGAAACCACTGGAAGTTCTTCCTGGGTGGACGGTCCAGGGATGATGCCTCCGGGAGCTGCCCCAAATCACCCCCTACGCCTGTCCTTTGCGGGGGTGATGTTCCTGCTCCCAACCATGCCCCGCCTCTTGTGACTACAAGATGCCTTTTGTTGTCGTCCTCGATGACATCTTTTTCTCAGCGTTTCACAAGCTTGATCAAATCGGACGTCAGGTTGCTCTCGATCCAAAGCAGAACCTTGTCGACAAAGCATTTTTTAAGGCGACCCAGATGAGACATCGGACAAGATCTGTCCACACCCTGAGATGGGAGAGCAGGGGCCGTGTTAAAGACCGGAAAGCTGCTGTTCTCGTGAATCAGCAGTTCGGTTCTTTCTTTCTTTTTTTAAAGTCAATTTTTGGCTTAAGAACAAAGACTTGTAGACGTGTTTTTCCTTTCACGTTGCAGATCCTGCTGCCCTAGGGCGGTGCTCAGCTCTACTCCCATAGGTAGCCCAACTGACTTCAGACTGGCCATGTCTACATGAGACGCTGAGTGCACAGTAGCCCATGGCTACCGCACAGTAGCGGCACATGCCAGAAAGCGTGACGCGGTGCTACTGCACAGTAGTCGCAGGCTACTGCACAGTCATGTCACGAGCTGCGTTGCTAATATGCGCTAAGTCCGATTACTGCCCAGTCATTTAGTACTTTTGTATGCAAGTACTAAATGACTGTACAGCCAGTGTTTCATAGTTGCAGCCACTGATGAGTAAAATGAAGCATGATTCAGTAGGAGGGCTCGAGTAAAATGAAGCATTGGTTCAGGACCGTGCACTATAAGTGGACAACGGCAACTGGCAAATCAGTTTTCAGTTTGAGTAGTTTGCATTTGCCCAACTAAAAATAATTCCTGGAGTCAGTCGACCATAAAAGTGGTTTTAAAACTTTTTTTTTTTCTGCTTGCTTTTTGCCCTTGACAGTATTCTGTTCATGGGTTTGATACTTGGTTGATGGTCAGGTTGTGGGCTTTCATGGGGAAAGCCGTGAGCTGATTCTCCTACAGTATGAACACAAAAGTCTCTTGTAAAGCAAGAGGATCAAAACTGAAATTGTAGATGTGGTAAAAAGTGCCGTACTCAGAGGTTGGTCCAGCTACATTTGATGCTGTCATTCTTGTGCTTGCCTGATATACAGAACAGAAAAAAAACATGTACACATTTTCTAGAGATAATTTTCTAAACTATTGTCAAGCTGAAAATTATTATATAAAATGTCAAAAACATTATTATATAAAATATTTATGTACGAACAGTAAGTCAAGTTTGATGATAACTGCTTTAAATGGGAGCTCCGAATATGGCCAGTGGTATGCTAAATCCCTGTTAATAACAGACTATCATGCCAAGGGCGTATGACAAAACTGGTGTACAATTTAGAAACGGTACTTTTCCGCGTGCTTTTTGGTTACCAATGTAGTTTTAATGGGCAAAGATTTTAGCAGCATCAGTACATTCTAAGAAGTTGTTATTCTTAATGTATGTTATAAACTTCAGTGCAGATTTTCATTGCAGCAAACCATGGCAAGGGCTTTGGCAGCAGGCAGTACAGCACACAGAGTGATTGTGCATATTGACCTGGATTGCTTTTATGCACAAGTAGAAATGATCCATAATCCTGAATTGAGAGAGAAGCCTTTAGGTAAATTTATGCTTTGTTGTTAATTGCTCTTTGGTTTACACACACACAGTACATGTAAAGAAAATTATTTTTTTTTGTGTGAAAGACAATTTTTTTTTAAATTCACGGATACTAATATTTCACAATTTATTCTGCTTGGTTTTGTGAGACATTTCATTTTTAAAATATTGGCCTTATTGCATGTGAACTAATTGATCCATGATGGGGGAGAAGTATGACATGAATTCTGTAGTAGGGATGTGATTGTATGGATCAGATTGCATGAAAAGGGTAAAAAATAAGAAGATTGCCCTGTAAATGAAAGATCACTAGCATTTAAGAAGAAATGAAATGTGACTATCATAAAATAACATTCAAACTGGTCATGAGCTCTTCAGTTTCATACAAGAAAATAAGAGTGTGATTCTTTTTTCAATGTTACATTAAATTTCTACTTTATGATTTTTGATAGTGGCATGAAAGTAAAGGAACATTTTTTGGCATGGCTATGAAATAAATGACTCTCGTATTTTAACTTTGTCTTTAGGTGTACAACAGAAATACTTGGTTGTAACCTGCAATTATGAGGCTAGAAAACTTGGAATTAAGAAACTTATGTCTGTCAGAGATGCTAAGGAAAAATGTCCACAGCTGATACTAGTTAATGGAGAAGACTTAACTCCTTACAGGGAAATATCATACAAGGTCACAGGTACCAATCAACAATTCTTTAATAAGGTGGAATAAGTGCTACACATATCTTCTTATAATGGGGAGCATTTTCTTGAATTAATATTTCTGATCTGACACAGGCCTTTGCATGTTGTCATTAGGCTTGTAGCCATGTCATCTCAGCCTGAGATTCCATTAGATGTCACAAACTAAACCGTTGGACTCCATCATTATCTAGATTAGCGTTGTAAAACAAATGCCTGCTGTGGGATGCTGATGTATTTATATGGCCCAGCATGATGTTTATATCTTGAAGTCAAATACGGTTCCTGTATTTGACTTCAAAATTATGTCAGCATTACTCATGGTTTCTAATGGATGGAAGGGGGCTAGGAGTTTGGGACGAAGCCTACAGGATCAGGAATTGGTATTTGTTACAGGAGAAGTATTGCAGAAGTCAAAAACTGAAAACGCAGAAAAAGAAAACGAGGGAGGAAGAAGAACACGAGGCAGATATAGCAGTCTAAATAGCAGCAGTCATTCTCACCAAGTGCTGTATAACACAATATGGTACAGAAGAAATACATGTTTATTAGTTAAGGGCTGTGTTTTGCTCCTTGATTTCTATGAAAGCATCCCTTCCCTTCGAGGTCAATGGGAGATTCACTATGGATATGAGTTCTTGGTTTGCATTATTATACTACATAGTTTATATGCTTTGCTTTGTTTCCATAGAACTATTGGAAGAATTTAGTCCACTGGTGGAAAGGCTTGGGTTTGATGAAAATTTTGTGGATATCACAGAGATGGTAGAGAAGAAACTAGGACAGCTACAAAGGGATGGATTGTCCAAAGTGTCTGTGTGTGGTCACGTGTATAATGATCAATGTGAGTGGATATTCCTTATTTTGTGAAAAAGTTATTATTAAATGCTAGTAGATTTGGGAATAAAATTGTAGGTTTCATCAATTTACTTTCAGAACTTCATGGCAGCACATTTCTTATTCCACGTGTAATACTATCCTGTCTACAATTAAACTGTCCAAAACTTGAGTTGCATATTCTCATACTGTTAGAATCTCGTATTATAACTGGCATATGAATTGGTCATGCACTGTGATTTGGAAAAATAAATGGTTTTGTTCCTGTGGGCTGTAAAAATACATAAATAAATACAGAATTAAACATCCGGTTTGATCAAGGTCAAAGTAACAACTTTCATGTTACTTCATGTAACAGTTAGGTTTAAGGATATTATTTGTTATAGTTACTCTTTGTCAGTTACTTGACACTTAGTCAAAACTACCCTTAATGTAGAGAACAAACAGAACAAACTTTTCCTATGGAGTGTAGTGGAAGAAGATTAAAGGGCAGTTACTGGATATGAAGGTAGAAGTTAGACTGGCGAATATGTTCTTCCTCTGCACAACTATATGCAATTGAAGTAATAAGATTTATATTCTTAAATGAACCACAGAAGAACGTATCCTTACTGGATCAGATGATATCATCACCCAATGCTATTGCTACAGTTTATTAATATGGTCTGTGAAGAAGCTGTCTTAAATATGAACCTTAATGAAAAACAATCCTACATGAATAATTGAAGGGAAAAAATCTTCCTCTGTCTTAATTAAACAAATATTTCCAAATCTCTAATTTCATATTGTTGTGATCTGATGAAGAATGCTTTACATTCAACAGCTTGTCTGAGGCTGTTCCAACCATGCAGTCGGTCCAGTAAAAGATGCCACCCACAAAAATCCTTGCCTGAATGATCATAGCATATTCATCAGCGCTCATCTTTGTCTTTACAGCTATCTGTTTACAAGATATGATGCATGTAAGACTTATCATTGGATCTCAGATTGCAGCAGAAATGAGGGAAACCATGCACAACAGACTGGGTCTTACAGGGTGTGCAGGAGTGGCTTCTAATAAGTTGCTATCAAAACTAGTATCTGGTACCTTTAAACCAAATCAACAGACAGTACTTCTGCCTGAGAGTTGTCACCACCTAATAGAAAGCCTTGATCACATCAGAAAAGTGCCCGGTAAGAGACTGGTGCCACCAGCTTTCACACATACTTTATAGATAACACTTGTTTAATGCATTAACTAAACAAGTATTAATTAAACAAAGTAATACTTGTACGCTGTGTTAATTAAAGTTGAATATTTCAAAATCTGGGTTTTCACTCTGTTTTTATTTTTTTATTATAGTCAACCTAGATCTTAGACAATGAAAATAAATTACTTTTATTTCTGTTTTCTTATTCTCTTCATTTTGCATTTGTGCCATAAGTGCTGTAACCCTGGGGGTACAGATACATTAAAATATTTGGAATTCAGATGTTTTTAGTAATGTAAGTAAACATGTAAATGTTTGTATCGCCTTCCAATTTCCTTGGCAAATCCTAAAGTTTTGTTTAACGCTATCTGAAAATGTTGCTTCTAAGAGTGTAACTAAAATTGATGTGTAGCTGGGCATTTTACATTTGAGAAAACAAGTATTTTAATGTATTGATTCAATATACAGTTCAATTCAATAAAACACTTTAGTAATAATCTACATAATATATATATTGTAACCTTATCTTTAACAAATTAATTTCCATATTTTGTCTATTATAGTGTTTTGCAGAGAATTTTTACCCAAGTTATGTACCTTTTTTACCTAGGCATTGGCTTTAAGACTACCAAGCGCCTTGAGTTGCTGGGTCTCAGTAGTATACGTGATCTCCAAACCTGTTCTCCTGAGATATTAGTAAAGGAACTGGGAGTTGCAGTTGCTGAGCGGATCCAAAAACTCAGCTGTGGAGAGGATGATTCTCTTGTGACCCCCTCTGGACCTCCACAGGTACACAAACATTCATAGATGTTAGGGTCGGAAGGTACCTCAGTAGACCATCGAGTCCGACACCCTGCCCTGGGCAGGAAAGAGCGCTGGGGTCAGACAACCCCAGCTAGATGCTTATCCAGGCTCCTCTTGAAGGACTCCTAGGGTAGGGGAGAGCACCACCTCCCTTGGAAGCCCATTCCAGATTCTGGCAACCCTTATTGTAAAGTTCTTTCTAATGTCCAACCTAAATCTGCGGTCCGTCAATTTGTGCCGTTGTTCCTGGTTACTCCAGGGGGTGCCCTAGTAAATACAGCATCTCCTTTTCCCTGGTGCTCTCCCCTGATGCATGAGGGGAAAGTTTCCCTGTTTGAATACAGTTTTCCTGAACTAGTTTAAATACAGATACATAGAGTTCAGGAATTGATATGCTTGATTTGGCCAGTGGCCCATATTTTATGTATTCACTATTATAACTCAGAACGTTCTTACTATTTGTACAGAGGTACGTTCCTTTTAGAATTCCACTAAATTCTAGGCCTTATGGACATATGTTTCCCAAATTAATTGTCTTGTCTAGAAAAAAAAAACCTATTTCTTTTTATCAATTTTCAAGTTTTTTGGTCGCCTGGTAATACACAAAATTGAAATGCCTCTTGATTTCTCTCAGTCTTTTAGTGATGAAGATTCCTTTAAAAAATGTTCATCAGAAGTGGAAGTTAAAAAGAAAATTGAAGAATTACTCACTAATCTTTTAGACAGGTGACTGTCTTCATTTGTTATTGCTGACTGAATTTGTGACCTGAAAGGACACACTGGGATATGTAAGGATTGTCTCTTAACTTAAAATGCTGCCCCTTCAAACTCAGCCTGCTTTCCTAGAGGTTCCACTGATCCTTCTACCCTTTTTCTCTCACCTCATGAAATGTGTCCTCTACAACTGCCATGTATTTGTCTCCTGTAACTCTTACATGTCCTGTTTCATCATAAGCTTACGCTTCATATGGCCAAAACTGTATTCCTTATCTTCCGTTCTGTTGCTTTTTCTGTTGTAGACAGTGTCATCTTTCCTGTTACTTATTCCCATAACCTGAGGTCATTTTCATCTTCTCACTTTTGTTTACCTTTCACATCGAGGAAATAGTCATCTCCTGCTGCTGCTGCTTCACTCATGACAAAATTGTTTCCCCTCATTTCCTTTCTGACTTGCTATAAACCACCATTTCTCAATCCATGAGTAACAACCCAAAAGTGGGTCATAAGAATATATGAAAGGGTTGTGAACAAACTTAAAAAATGGATCCACAGACTTTTAAAATTGATTCTTCGTTAAAGGAGAAAAACGTGGGAAACCGTGGCTTTTCCCTTGCAGGCTGTCAGAGACCCAGCCTGCAAAGGGCTGCTTGGGGGCCCCCCCATGTCCCACACACTGGAGGCCTATGGGTGGGGGGCCCTGGGTCAGGAGTGAGGGGCACTGGGTTGGGACTGGCCATCGATGTTTACAAGTGGGTCCTGGTACAAAAAAGGTTGAGTACCACTGCGAACAACATCACAAATGTAGCTGAGGTTATAGTCATTCCTGGTTGATCTGATTCATTCCACCAACTTCCCCTTTTTTGCTGTATTAGATGTAAGCTGATTGTTTCAACATCCATGAGTTTCTGAGTTTGTCTCTTTATCTTGTCTCTCTTCCAGACATTGTTGGTCTGTTCCAGCGTGCAGCTTGTCCAATAAAAGATATCACCCACAAAAATCTTTGTCTGTCTGTCCGTCTTTCTCTCTCCACCTTAAAAATCCCATTTGTTCCCTTCTTCCATAAATGTCTTACGTTTCTTTTCATGCTGCCTCTTATCTATAAGTCCTACCCACTTCAATAAAGTACATCCCACTTCTAACACAACTTGCATACAAGATTAGGCAACTAATACATTGATTTACTTGTATTTAAAAAGAGAGGGGAAATATCCTCTTTACATTCCAAACCCTGATTTGATCTTGCTCCACCCTCACCATCCTTTATATTTTGTAATAGTGTTTTTCACTTCATTTCATCTAGTCTAAATTGTAAAATCCTCAATGCAATGTCTGCATCTTTATGTTCTGGAAGATACTTCACAGCCTTTTAGATAATGAAAGAAAGAAATCCGAGCTACGAAACTAAAGGAAGGGGGAAGAGGAAGAGAAGCTAAACTCACCTCTGGAGTCATGATATTTTCATGGAGTGAAAAAAAGTATTGGCAATAAAATGCAAATTGGGTCCTAAGGGGTATAATCTCAACGCCAGAATGCATTTTGAACACATTAAAATAGAAGCAGCACATTTGTATGTTAGTGTTTTTGCAAACTGAGCTTTACAGTCTTCCTATTCATTTTAGTTTAAAGACTCTGAGGCCATGGACACAGGAATTAGTTAAGTGTTGCCAAGTTAAGCTGTCCTGATTTGGAAAGCTGCAAACAAACAAGACATCCCTTAAAAGCGGGTTAACCCTAGTCCTACAGTAGCGGACATACAGTGGGGTTGAATCAAGGCTAATTTTTTCATGCATCCAAATGCCTGCTTTTCAGTGAACAGCATGTTTGTTTCTCACTTTCCAGTACTGTACACAGCCTAGTATGCCTTGCTCCAGGCTTTGCCCCTTCGTTCACATATCTATAACCTTGTATGTTCAGAAAACTTAATACATTTTTGTTTCCAACAGTTCCAAAGTACAACACTTATGATTGTCTTTTCCAAAATAATTACCAAAAACATAGCAAAAAGATAAGTTCATCTTCACTTTGCCTATGCAGAATTCTCCCCTCCAGCAATATTTTCTAGTACAGTTATTATTCCCAAAATTCTACATAACAAAGCAAGACTGCTTTCTAATTTGGGAATATCTTTATAATGGCAAAGTGATCTCATTCTCCAGGTTGAGAACCATGTTTTAGTATTTTGCAGTGCACTTCTACAAAGGAGTTCACTTTAAGAATGAGATACTTGGATTTTTTTCTTATAAGAGATTGAAACAAATTCAACTTTGTAAATTTCTAGCTGTATTTATTGGAATTGTTTATTAGAAACTATCTTCAAAATGGTGAAGAAATAAATGATATTATAAGATTGCTAATAAGTAGAATTGATTTAGGAAGAATCAAAATGCTTCATTTCAATAAAGGGAAAATGAGGCAGAAAAACTAAAATTTAGGCAGTACTTTTTATACTCTATGTTAAATACCATTATTTTGTCAAACTTCCTTGGTGGATACCAGAATACATTTCCTTTTACAATAATTGGCTGAAGAAAATATGAATTAATTAGTGTTAATTTTAATTACACTTTATATTTTTTCTTTTAGAATACACAATGATGGAAGAAAACCACGTACAATAAGATTAACTATTCGTCAGTTTTCACTAACTAATAAATGGTTTAATCGGGAGAGTCGTCAATGCCCTATTCCACCGCACATCATCCAGAAATTTGGGACAGGTAAAGGCTGTTTAAAAGTTTCTTAACAGTGTTTCCACATTTCAGTTCAAAATATTTCAGTGATTTGTGTGTGACAGCTATATCATGATGAGACAGACTAAGAACACAGAACTTGATGATCAGAATAACTTTTATTTCTTAAGAAAGTAAATTGTTACCCTAGCCTTGAGGGGACTGTCTTGACAGTGTGTGAACCCAGGCACAAAATGTACTTGTCTACATTTTACTCGCATGATGACAAACATGAGTTGTATTTAACTCCTCCCTGTTAAACAAACAGGCAATAAACCATAAAAGAAATTACTTGCTTGAGTGAGTTAAATTTTAGTTGGGTGGGTTATCTATAAGATTTCAGTTTCTTCCTGATGCACTTTTTTATCCAGTGGTATATTGCAAAGATACCATCTTCCCTCTGAAGTAAATGGCTTCCAACCCACGTATGGATCACAAACTTTCAGTTGCCATTTGATTTAGTTCCCCCACTCCCTTCCCTTGTACTTGGTCAGCCTCTTCATTAATATATAGAATCATTAAACTTTCTGGCTTAGTTGATATTAAGAGTTAATAAAATATCGTAATCATTGACATAAATTGATAAAGAATTAGAGTGTTTCACCTCTAGTTTACCAGTTTGAACCTATTCTGGACTAGAGATGACCAACATTTTTTTAAAACTTCTAAGGATAAAGATTCCATAACCTCTCTAGGTATTCAATATTTCATCACCCTTATAAGGTAGAAAACTCTTTGTAATGTGCAACCTAAATTGTCCTTGTTGCAGTCTACTGTAAAGTAAGTTTGTGGTCTCAGTGTAAAATTAGCAGGCATCATAGACATGTTGCAGTATTTATCATAGTTGCATACATTGGGGCCCTTTATGGCTTCTTTGGGATTTTTTAGTTGCAGGACTGTGGCTTAATTTTATGCGTTTATATTGACCATCTTTCCAATTTTCACATCGCCTCTTCTAGAAAGGCAGGGCAGGAAAAGGAGAACTTCTGTTGGTAACGGCTATATTGTAATGATTCTGTGCATAAGTCTTGAGAGCTGTCAGTCCAGCACTTTTCACAAACACTTAAAAAACATCAAAATGTAAACACAGTTTATAGATCACCTTGTCTTTGTTTTTTGAAAGAGTCAAATAAAAATCTCCTTACTGGGTATAACTGTTGTGACAAACCCTTACAAAATGTTAAGAATATATTTAGTCCATCAAATATTTACATTAATACTTACCTTATTTTGTATTTGTACAAAGTACTGAAAGTCCAGGTTCTGTCCTAAGAGTGAGCCTATAATGTCTTGATTAAATACATACCTATTTAAATCTTAATTCCATTCAGTCCTGTACAGAAAGTTTTGATTAAACTGTGCTTTTTTTCAAATTGCCTATTTAGGAACCTATGATGTTGTGTCCCCACTGGTTGATATCCTTATGAAGCTGTTTCGAAAGATGATAAACGTGGAGATGCCGTTTCATATTACCCTTCTGAGCGTCTGTTTCTCCAACCTCAAAGCCCTGCCTAGCTGCACCAGAGGATCCATCGGATTTTATCTAACTCGGACATCATCCCATGCAAGTGCTCGCACATGTATTCAAGTAAGTTGACAGTTATTGAAAAAACGCAGTAAGTTCAGAATAGGATAATATATTTGTTGTAGTCTGTATAATGATTTTTAAGTAGTACTTGCTTCCAAGTTTTATAGACCCAAATATCTGGTCCCAAATTAGTGGTAAAAATGAAGATCTCTGTAAACTCTCCTGAATAAATACAATTCCTAAGATGTGTTTTTATGATTCTCTTCCTTGGATAGTTTTAATTTATTTTTAATTAGCATATCTTGAATGGGACAAACTAGGTTATGAAACCTTATTTCCCTGGGGAAGAGAGAGGAGTTTATGGAGAAAGGCACTCAAGCCAGTGTTTTCAAAAATGAGTAAATAAATGTGGGTTTTCCATGAGCTTTGTTGAGAGCTATTGCCTGCTCTAAAAACAGGCTGCTTATTTAGGTGTTCTAAGTATAAAGTTAAGAAGCAACTTAAGCACCAAGTGCTTCTATAATTGATCTGTACAACAAGATATAGAAATGGCCTTGAACTACAGAAAACATCTTAAATGTTTGGTTTGAATTAACACTCGTTAGTGTCATTAATTTGCCTTTTAATAGTTAATAATAAGGCTACCTTCAAACACTGCGGGCGGGCGGGCGGGCGTGCGTGGTTTCCCATATGCTCTCAATGTCTTCAGCTGGGCCAAGACTTTAGCCCAGACCTTTATTTAATTCATAGCATTTGTGAGCCACTGTATTGCTTATCGTTTAAGATTTACTGGGAATTTAGAAACTTGAGATTAAGTAAACAAAATGTAGGTCTTTAGACATGCACGAAATATGGATACGTACAAGTAGGTACGACCACACATTACGTGTTTCCATGGGCAGATATGCATTTCTATAATTACTAAGTTCTTGTCAGCAATTACTCACTTGACAAGTAAATGCAAAGTAGGAAGCTTTATTCTTGGTCCTTTCTGTTTCTTCACTGCACTTGCCCACGGATGGCCCTCTTAACTTCCCTAATTTGTCTCACATCATGCATATCAATTCTTAAATCAAGTTTTGTTAGCTGTCCACCCAGTCTCTCTGTGAGTACTCAAGCTCAGATAGTACCCTTGAGTACCAAAGCTCCATTCCTACTTTCTGCAGTTTGAATGTTTAGCACTTTTAATTTTCTTTGGTGCTAGTTTTAAATATTTACAGAGTGCATCGTAGAACTGGTTGGGAATTTTAATGAAACCTTTTCTTTGTTAGAAAAGACTAAAACCTGTGAAGACAAGGTTCTTTGGGTAAATCTGATATCGTTTATTAGACCAACTCAAATAGTTGGAAAATTCTTCTTAGCAAGCTTTCGGGTATAAATACCCTTCATCAGGCTGAGGAAGCATCTGAAGTTGGTGTGTGCTCTTCTTGGATGGAACTGCACCAACTGCAGATGCTTTTTCAGCCTGAGAAAGGGTCTTTATACCTGAAAGCTTGCTAAGAAAAAACATTCTAATTATCTGAGTTGGTCTAATAAAAGATATCAGATTTACCCAAAGAACCTTGTCTGCCTATGTCCTTAGATCAACATGGCTACAGCTTACATCCCTAAAACCTGTGAACACATTTGTTTTGATGACACTATCAGGAAGGTTTCCCCCCTCCAGGATGGACTTTCTCATGAAAGAGAAACCTACCCTCATATGGAGAATAGTTAGAGCACTCACTTGGACTATGTGGGATATCCAAGTTCAAGTCCTAATTTTGTTGAGCAAAGTCTGAGCTTTCTACACCCCAGGTGTGTGATCTGGCCACTGGACTAGTGGTTGTCTGTCGTGTTTTTTTCTGTGAATGTTTTTCAAAAGGTTTCCTTCCATTTTGCTCTTATAGAATGAAAAATTCTGCAAACTCAAAATTTAGTGAAATAGGTCTTGTATTCTGGCTAGTCCTAATATTTCAATATATTTAGTAATGTTGTTATAGCTTGTCTGCCAAGCAGCATGAAGAGATATATAGTTTAATGTTTTAGAAACTTCAGAAACTTCAGTGGAAATGTTTTAAAGTATCTGTTCCTTAGAAAATGGATTCCAATTTAAGTTTGTCAAAGGCTCTGTTGAATATAAAATAGCATTAAAACAATATGGAGTACCTGGTGGAATACGGAGCATATTTTTTTTACCCTTTGAAAAAAAAACATTGGACAGGTTCACCGTTTGTAAAATGCTACTTGTTGAATGACACCCGTTTAATCATTTTATAGTAATTTAAATAATATATTTTATGCCACAGGAAATGGAAAGTGTTCCACAAGACCAGGCACACTGTTGCAGTTCTGCACCAGCTGAAAGAACTGAAAGTACAACAGACGGAAAACCTTCACTAGAAACCAAAAGCTTCACGGAGGAAACAAGAATTCCCGAATACCCACTTCACTTGCTTCCTGCTGGTCTTGACCAGGAAGTCTTCAGTCAGCTTCCAGTAGATATTAAAGAAGAAATTATTTCTGGCAGCAGCGGGGCAAAGATTCATACAGAAAATATTTTGGATCCACCATTACTTGTTTCTACACAAGCACCACCATATTTTGCCCAAGAAAAAATGCAAAACGCTTTCCCAAATTTCCACAAAGTAGATCATAGTATCAGCTTTTCAGCGTGCACTGAATTCTTTACATCTACCATTGAGCCAGTGACAGCCATGGTACAGAGGTCTACTCCAGGTTGTACTCCTGCGAATTCCCTAATGGATGACTGCATAGAACAAGAGCCCACAGAATCACTCCATTTCAAACAGAAAGACTCAGTTGTTTCAAGCCTGCAAAACCAACAACCTTTTCTGCACCCTCATTATTCAGGCGCACAGGAACAGGCTCTTGAAAAGGTTTCTCAGGCTGAAGGTTCTAGAGGACAAGAATCACGTGAAGTAAAAATTGTATTCCCTGTTAATGTTGACCCAAAGACTTTTTTTGAACTACCTACAGAAGTGCAAAAAGAACTACTGGCTGAGTGGAAGAATCAAGAGCCTGTTTCCAAAATGCGCATGAATAAACCATGTGAAAAGCTAAAAACGAGCAAAGGAAAAAAGAATGCAGCATTGTGTTCATCACAGTCTAACAGTTTACTAAGGTATTTTAAACCAAACTGATGACTGTTTATAATACAGAGATGATTGGCATAAAAAATTTCAGATAAAACAAAATTGCCATAAGAACAGGCACTTAAAAGTCAATCACTTTTACAATAAAGAAACTTACATTGTAACATTGTGACTGTACATAAAAACTCACTAAGACCATCTCAGCAATGAAGAGCTTCATTAACACTACATGTTCTTTTGTTAAAGTAGCAGACATATATTTTATTTGGTCCAACGTACAGGATAGGGCTGGTTTCCACCTCCCCACCTCATTCTCTCCCTCTTTCTTTGAGTCTTCCAGTTGTATTATCCTCATTGAAAAGCTACATTCACTGAAAAGTTGCAGATACTTAATGAGACTTGTTCTTGTATCAGCCAAATTGTATTAATTAGGCATTGGTTTCCACTGCTAAATCCTTTTTTTATTAAACCCTTAACATACAGGAAATGCTTACTTTGTGGAGAAAAAGATCCTGCGAACCTGCTGGCACACTGAAAATGTATGGCTGTTTATGTTAATTCTTACTTCCATAACTGCTAGAGAAGGAGCACAGGGTGAACAGAAAACCTTCTCCATGTGTTTCTTAAACTTTCAAAAACATTTTTATGATATGCAGCTAGAATGGCCAAAAAGAGGTTGTCAGCATTTCCTGCAGTTAAAACTACCAGCTGCAAAGGTTGTGGGCTCTTGAAATTAGCAGACAAGAAATGCCCTTTTGCTGGTCATTATGGTTTAATGAAAACATTCCCAGGTTGTTCATGGTAAGAACAATCCCTTTTCCATTTCTGAATGTCATGGATTTGCTGGTTTCAGGATGCAGACAGTAGCAACATGCCTTAAAGAGATGTTCTTTATAACATACAATAACTCAATTCCTAGCCCATGAATCCACTGTTTTATAACTACTCCAGGATTTTTTCTTTTCTTATGAACATATCATAAGCTAACCAGTCTTAATGTTCAGCCCTCTTGATCAGGTCACTTATATGGACCTCATTTTAACAAGTTACTTAAGGATAGTATTAAGTTGCTGAAGTAATTATAGCACCTCTCTTTTTTAAAAAAATCTTACCAATGAACAATTTGACATTTAAAATTTAGCTAATTACTGTTTGAATGTAATTTGTAATAAATGTATTTACAATTACTAATACTTCGAGTCAAAATTAAATAATTTGAGTTACAAAACTAGGCCATGTTGCTTAAAATATACATATGTAAAACTATAGCAAAATATTGATTAGTCTGTCAGTGCAACATACTTATCAACACTTATGATATTTTACATAATCAAGTTATTTCACAGTAGCTTTATACAATAAAGTGCTAGTGTGTTACAAAATACATCACAGTGTATTGTTACTTTTGACTTGCTCTGAAATCTGACTCGTGTATGTATTTTGATGGCAACTCAATGTAAGTTCTAATTAAATCTTGTTCAAAAAACCTTTCCCTGTAAAGCAATGAAACACAATTATTATGACACCGATTCATAATTTAGCATTTAACAGAAGTACACTAAACTAAGTTTTACATGCATGCTTTCTGTGTTTAGACCACATTTAAAACTAAGCTACAGATATTTTATTTATAAAACGAACTTGGGTAACAGCTGCTTGTTGTTCAAATGTGCAAGATCTTTCTCTTTATGTTTGACTATGGTATCTACTTATTTAACGTCTTTAGTCCAGCCCTTGTGTCAGTGATTAAGTTTATGAGGATAGTTGGCAATGCTGTTTCCACCACTGAATGAGGCAAGATTCCTCCCAATTCTGGCTGGATAAAAACAACTAGTTTGGAATGTTCTGGGTTCCTGTCAGAAATGGAACAGAAGCCTTCAATTAATGTTTGCATTTATCCAACATCAGTTATAATCTACAAGATGCAAATGCTGACGTCTTCCTTGTATTAAAGTAAAGGAATGCAGGATACATAAATGGCCCGATTCAACTTGTCACTGTAGTCTTCTTGACTTACATATTGCACTAAGTTTTGAGCATCTGCCCCATGAAAACATGCAACAAAAAAGTGAAATGGATCATACATACATTTTGTACACAGAAGCTAACAAGATGTTAAAAAGATCTTACTTTATGCATGTAATAAATACTCACTCTGGCAGTGGGGAACAAACATAGCCACAAGGGTTGTTATGACCACGGATGCAAGAGGGAGACGGAGGGCATTCTGGATACTCCACACTGACAGCTAAGTGACCAAAAACAAAACTGAGAATGAAGAACCTATCAACTAAATATATCGATCATGTTGACATCAGAGTGGGCACATCATGAGATGCTTAATGTGCAGTAGCCTAATGCTACTGTGCGGTAGTGTGCCAGGCAAAAACTGCTAATACACTACTGCACAGTAGTGTTAGACTACTATGCAGCAAGCATCACTAAAAAAACGTGCACCAGCACTACTGTGCCATAACTAGTTACTGCGCATTTAGTTAGTACTTCATTAAGTACTAAACTAAATACACAGTAACTACTGTGCATTAGTGAATGTGTAGACGCACCCACTATTTCTCAAAAACAAAATGCTGCTTTTCTGAAATGGCACAATATAAAAATTATAAATGCAATTACTACTGGCTGGGCACGTCTACACGAGATGTTTACTGTGCAGTAAACACTTCAGTGCCCACGTGTGCCCCCATTCAGCTAGAGTAAACTAATTTATGCCACACCAGGATAGTACTTGTAAACAGTAGTACTACCCTGCTGCAGAGTAAAAAAAAACTGCAGCATTGCATGCGTAGATGCTGCCCTGGCTGGCTGGGCCACACAGTTGCTTCAGTGCAGGGGCTGCCTGGCCTCACACTGAACGACCCTTGTGCCCCAGCCAGAACCTCTACAGCATGTGTTAATGCGGAGAGCAGCCCCAGGTTGTAAAGCTGACCCCCCCCCCCGGCAAAGTATCCTGCCAGCCAGGGCTGCTCTGACCCCGATCAACGTGCTGCAATCCCAGGCACGCATTCAAACGACAATAAACTCCGGAGTGTAGTGCTTCACATTATTTGCATGTGTAGATGCACCCTGTCAGTAGCAATTACATTCTGCCAGCTAGGTTTTAAGAGAATATTTACTATTTGTGCATACACTTGCTCTACGTGCAAATGCAAACGCAAACTTCCATTACTACAAAAATATTCTGATAGTCACACCTATAGAAATCAATTTCAAGACTTTTGGCAAACCCCCATAATTAGTAAGGGAACTAGGGAAGACGAGGAAAAAAATGTCTGCACATGCAGCCAGAATTGCCTTTTGAAGGGGGAAAGGTTTGCAGGGGATGTCATAGCAGCACTGTTATGCATGTATTAATGTATTAAAATAATTCAATAATTAAACTATTTGGAGAACATTCTATGCTGCCATTTGCCAAAGGCCATACCCACACAAAGGGAAGACTAAAACAAAACAGTATTTTTGTGGCTTTATTGGTACACAATTTAGCTGTAACGTGAATTAATTTCACATGTATAATTTTTTCAGTAACAGTGTTGGTACAGGTCTGGAAACAGAAAAAAGAGTGAGCAAATAATCAAAGACTTTCACCATTAAAATAATATCTTAACTAGGGTATAGAGCTGGTTGAACACCACAGAAATGTCTTAAACCATTCAATAAATCCTGGTGAAATATGGCTGGAATATATTTGGAAACACTACTTATTCCTGCTCTGATTTCTACATCTTTCTTCCTTTTGGTAAACCTCTTTTCTCTTCATGGATTCACTTAATTTTTTACTTTTGAAAAATTACGCTGAGTCTCCCTCAAGAGTTGTTTTTTCCATGTTTCCCCCACCATTCTTTCCCTTTTTGTCTCTCTCAAATTATCAGCTTTCTTCATAATGTATCCCCTTGATTTTTTACCACCCACCTATGACTCCATTTGTGCACCCACTCATAGACCAACTAGGAGAATATTCCATATAAATAAGAAAAAGGAAGAACAAAACCCAAAGAAGCCATTTTTATGTATAATAAAGTAAGAGCGAGAGCAGAAACATTATTTATTTGGAATTCACCTTTAATTTTATTATTTATAATTATTGTCATTACTTTATTATTTTACATTTACCTTTTTATTGTCATTATAAGCAAGCTCTTTATTTTAGGAGATATGAGAGGGGAGAATTGTTTAGACAAATCCCAATCACATTTCTTAGGACTTGAAAATTATTAGAAATTAAAATGCTTTATAGGTGCCAGACATGCAGTTACGGAACATTAATATTGAATACAGATACGTAAAAGTGATTAACAAAGTAATAAAAAATGAATTGTCTTTTTCTATACAAATTGTATGTGAAACCTTCAATTTTATTAATAGAAGAGAGTAAATATTATAATAAGAGAAGCAACTTGTTATGCTGAAAGACATTTATAATATAGAATTCCCTAAAATAGACAAGTAAACACTGCACAAAACAAGGGATTACAAAACCTTTTTCCTCAAAGTTAGTGTGCACTTAGATAAGAGATACAGCTATTTGAGATCTTGTAGAAGTGAAGTCTGACTCCTCTACCTTTACCTAATCTTGGGTGGGGAAAACTCTGATGGGCATTTGTTTTTATTTTAGTTGAACTTTGCATAGAACAAGGTATCACTCACTGGGTGCATCTACATGTGCTATTAGAGTAATATAGTTTAGTTTCATAGCTGGTAGAGTTGGAAGGGACCTGAGCAGATGACCAAGTCCGACCCCCTGCCATGGCAGGAAAGAGCACTGGGGGCCAACGACCCCGGCAAGGTGTTTGTCCAGCCTCCTCTTAAAGACCCCAGGGGAGGAGCCAGCACTTCTCTTGGAAGTTGGTTCCAGATCCTAGCCGCCCTGACTGTGTAGTAGCGCCTCCTGATGTCTAGTCTGAATCTACCCTCTGCCAGCTTGTGACCGTTATTTCTTGTCACTCCTGGTAGTGCTCAGGGGAACAGGGACTCCCCCAATGCCTGCTGGTCCCCCCCGACTACTTTGTAAATGGCCACTACATCCCCCCTCAGCCTTCTCTTGTGGAGGCTCAACAGGTTCAGGTCCCGTAGCCTCCCCTCATAGGGCCTGCCCTGCTGACCCCTGATCATGCAGGTGGCCCTCCTCTGGACCCTCTCCATGCTGTCCACATCCCTCCTGAAGTGCGGCGCCCAGAACTGGACACAGTACTCCAACTGCGGCCTGACCAGTGTCGTGTAGAGAGGGAGGATCACCTCCTTGGACCTTCTTGAGATGCATCTGTGGATGCATGACAAGGTGCGGTTGGCCTTCCTGACCGCGTCCCCACACTGTCGGCCCATGTTCATTTTGGCATCAATAATGACTCCAAGATCCTTTTCTGTGATAGATGATAAACACCAATGCAGTTTGCACCAGAGTCAGCTGCTCCCAGATGCAGCATCTGCACGTGCGCTCAGGACCACAGCACTTAGAGCCAGGCTGGAGAAGCCCCAGGCTGGCAGGTGGCCTGGGGGGTCAGCCCCGAGCTCTAGGTGGCAGGGTCAAGCAGCGAACAGGCTGGCTGAGACACGAAGGAGCTACAACACAGGGTTAGGCAGCATGCATTTTAGCACCCTTGTGCCCCAGCCAGACCCTGTCATAGCTTACACATCATTTTGAGCACATTTAATTACTCTGCCATAAGATAGTACTGTTAGGGAGTACAGTAGTACTATCTTACAGCCAAGTTAATTAACATACTGTGCCCTAATAGGGCGTGCGTATAGATTGTGACGCTTTACTACAGAGCTAATCGGTCAACTCTGCAATAAAGTGCATGTGTAGATGCACCCAGTGTGACTACTGTGCAAAACTGGGTCAATAGTAATCAATATCATAGCTTCCAAAAGAGCCAAAATACACACATACAAAATAATATTTATAACTTACAGTTAGTAGTAAGGATACCTCCAGCATATGGCTTAATGTGTACCACATCAACAAAATCTCTTGACGAAATCAGTCCCATACCATAACTCTGTGTAACACTGTGATATATGCCCGTGTCCTACAACAAGTAAGCGTAGATTAATTAAACAAATTCAGTTTCAAGAAATGTAGTTCTCTTTCATTGGCAAACTTCTGTTCTCCTGAAGAGTGAGAACGTGGCAAAAATAGATTTCTATTTGTTTGTATGTGAAGACATGGTTGATATCTACTTAAACCTAAGGACAGAACTAGTGGGTTTTACTGCTGTGTAAATGGTTTTCCTATAGCATTAAGAATCCATGCATTCGCTGCCCTTCCTAGGGGTGGGTCTTCATTTGTTTATTTTGATGCGTAAAATCTCAAAGGGCAGATCCAATACTCTGGCCCTGTAATGCAAATTATTAAAATATATACTACCATGCAGTAAAAATGACATTTCACTCTATGGAAGAAATACATACCCCTGAGTAAATTTTATTGATTTTGATTTTATTGATTTTAAAGCTCCCAAAGCCCAGAAGGAAAGATGGGCTGGCTAGGATGCCCAAAAGTAGGTTATACAAACTAGCTGACGAATCAAAAGAAAGTGGAAAAAAGATGTTAGAGAGATCTGAAAAGACATATTAAGTATAAAAGTTATTCACAATTGTTCATAAATGGGTACTGAGATTTTTTCATTCATCTACATAAGGGTAGGCTAAATGCAGAGCTGCTTTTCCTCTTCAGAGATTGTTTTGTGCAGTTCTACAAGGATCAGACCAGAAATCATAACAGTTTTGAACATGCATTGCTGCACTAGTACAATGCAATGTCAAGTCAACCACGTACCTCTCCACAATATTTGACTTTGACATATCTGATATATTAGCATAACACCCAATCAAATTGAAGACAAAAAAGCCTGATTTTTAAAAAGTATTATTAAGACTCCTGACAGTAACTATATGTACAAATGTAGTAGCTATATGTACAAATTAACTTTTTCCCATGCAAATACAATTAAGTGTATACACACAGGGCATGCAATTACTCACATGCTTTAACTGGACACCTACCTACCTCTTTTTTAAAATTGAGCCCTAATTTTTTTCACAAGTTTGTGCATCATCTTGCTGCTACTGAAACATGTCAGGTTGTGACAGGCTAAATGAGGAATTGTGCAAGCTTCCCCAGGCTGTTCTGCCATTATGTCACAACCCTGACTCAGAGGGACCTCTTGTAATGTTCTTTATTAGTTCAATTGCTGGCATCTCTAAGGTTGCCACAATGGATGTAATCGGAGGTGCTAATTAAGAGTTTGGCACTGGACGACCAAGAAAATGGGCAGAGACTGCCAAACTCATTTTACACAAACCATTAAATGGTAGTAATTTTTAGTCACAATCAAGCTAGAATACATTCATATTTGAACCCTAGAGATTAAATGCTCTGTATCCCATTAGCAGTCCTTTTGAATCATCCTACACAAATAACAGTTATAAAATATAGTAGAATCTTTGGATTATATTATGGTATTACCTGATCAATCTTTTCTAGCAGCCGGTAAGACTGTAATGCCTTGTCCCACTTGGATCGATGTTCAGGAAGATACATAAAGGGAATAACTTTAGAAGGTACCTCCTTAATTATCCCTTCTCCACAGTATCTAGGTTTTGTGCAGAAAAACATCTAAAAGTTATTAAATAATATGATGAACTGGAAGAAGTAATTTTACAATAGTAATTTGCTAGTGTTTGGGAAGTCAGATTATAATTAAGGAAAGCATGGGGATGTCATTGCATTTACTGGGCTGATTAAAATTCAATTAAAAAACAAAATGAATTATTCTGGAACCGATTTATTTTTTCTCCAAAGAGCACTGCAATCTTGACAACACAAATTATTAAATAAAAATTGCATTACAAACTATTGGGTTGTATCCTGTTAATTTAAAAATGCATTTCCTTTACTTATTAATCTTTTAATTTATCTTTTGAATTTTTCAAAATTTTTTGGCCTAATTAGAATTTCCACACCATTCTGGAGCTGTTATTTTTGTATAAGTATCCTCCATATTGAGGAGACCTTGTATGGATGCCAACGATATCATTGAAAGCCACATATTTTGCAGGAGTTTTAGATCAGGGGTTTGACAACCTATATACTGGATCCAGATATACTCCATCCAGATGAAGGGCTTCAGTGGCATTTGAGGCCCTCCATCTCCATGGGCTGGACGAAGGAAGCTTGGACTGGATGGACTGCACCATGGCCAGGCTGCTGGAAGCTTCACCCATGCCACAGCTCGGAGAAATGACGGCAGCACCCAGGTCTTAGTGCTTCCCTACCTCAGACCCAAGTTGGGTCTTTCTGGCCCACCACTACTGCTGGTCTAGAGAGATGACAGAATTCAACACAAAAAAGAACAGGTGTAGTTATGCACAGAGATTATAAACCTGACTCTCCGCTGCCAAACACTTTGTGTCATCACAGAAACATTGCCAAAGCAAGTGTTGTGTGGGTGTAAACGACTCCCCAAGGCAGTGGAGAATCAGGTTCTCGGAGTTAACCATGCTGCCTGCAATAGGTATAGAACATGATGGGAGCCATTCGAAGATCTGTTAAGTGAAGAGCAGATGCGCTATATGTTAAGATCAGCAGATTTCAATTGAGCCACACCCTTTATTGCAATTTATTTATGAATCATTGTTTAGCAATATCATGTGAGACTCTTGCCCAAATCTTGTAAAACCTTCTCATGTGCAACCAGTATGAACCACTTACCCAGATAGATTTCCTATAGGCCAAGGAAAATGGAAACTTTTGAAAACTACAACTGCCTCAACAAAGGAATGGGGTCTTAGCACAATAACCGACATTTCAAGGTTTATACAGAAACATTTAGGAGCTGAGGACACAGGACTAGGAGGAACCTCATGAGTAGGGATCTCTGGAAGTTGTGCCGTAAGTGCGTGGCACAGCAGCTTCTTTCATCTTGGAGTTTCCCCCACATGCCCCCAGCGCCAACTGGCGGAGGGGCCCTGTTGCTTGCCGTGCGCTGCCTGTGCAAATTCCAGAGATCCCTACTCATGAGTCATCAAATCTAGTCTCCTACTGCTTTGGCCCATCATACAATTGCTTTCATTTATTTATCAAACTTCCTTTTGGAACCACGAACATTTCTTGCGTTCACTATTATTAGAAAGCTGCTCCTGAACTTCACGACTCTAATGGTTAGAATACTTTTTCTAATTTCCAGCCTAAATTCATTCATAGTCAGATTATACCCATTTTACCTTTGGCCAACACTGTCCTTTGGCTAGAATGTTTCTTCTCATTCTTCCCACTTTGTATTTATAGACAGCAATCAGGTTCTCTCTCAGCCTTCTCTTTGCTAGGTAAAACAAGCTAAAAACTGGTCTCTTTTAGTGAGATAGGCCCCTCTCTCTGCATGTTCCATTTTCATTTAATCTTTCTCTGACTTGGGTGACACGAATGGTACACAATTACAAATAAGGTCTTGTAAAACAGCATTAATACTTCCCTAAAACTGCTGAAAATACCTTGAGAAGCACATCCTAGGATGGCATTTAAAGAGCATTATCCCCAGTGAGGACACTGCTACACTCTCCTACTTTGTCCTCATATACACTATTTCAGGTTTGGGGGCTCCCTAAACTTTCAAACAAATGGTATAACCATAGGCACATGCATGGCCTCCCAATATGCCAACACATTTATGGCAGACCTTGAAGTCTGTTTCCTCTGCAGCTTCCCTCTCATCTCCCTGATATACCTCAATGACATCTTCACTGCATAGACACATGGGAAGGAATCTCTAGAGAAATTTCACCAAGACTTAAATAACTTCCATTGCTCCATCAGACTAACTCTGGAATATTTCACACAGCAGATTCATTTTCTAGACACTGCAGTGAAGGTTTGCAATGGCCACATTGCCACTACATTGTGTTGTAAGCCAACCAACCACCACAGCTACCCTCAGACCACCAGGTTTCATCCTAAGCACACCACTAGAATCACTGTCTACAGGCAAGATCTACGTTACAACCAGGTTTGTTCTGATCCCACCAACTGGGATACAAACCTTAAGGATCTGAAGCTGGGATTCCTTCAGTGACAATACACTCCCAAAACTGTAGCCACTCAGATCAACAAAGGCAGACTCAGACCTTGTGCTGACTTGCTACAATACCGACCAGTTCCTCTGGTTGTCACCTACAACCTCCAAACTTGAACACACTTCACTAATAATCTCCAAGTCCTCCTGGAAAAGGTCAACTGTTTCAAGGTAGCATGGGGGAGAAACCTGTCCTGGCTAAAAGGCAGTCCAACCTAAGCTGAAATCTCTCAGGAAGGCTACCTAGCTCCCATTCTCAGCAAGGTACCAGACTTTGCAATATGCCCAGGTGCCTGGCATGCCCCAAAATCAATACAGACCACATCAGCACTGGACCAAATAACATGGATTATAACGTCCAAGGTCATGTACCTGCACCTCTACCAACACTGTATATGCCATCACCTGCTTACAGTGCCCCACGGCAATCTACACTGGACAGACAAGGCGATTGCTACATAAAAGAATAAACTAACACCATTCATTCTTTCCTTTTCACATTACTCTAGAAAGACACAAAGGACTGTGGCAAAACACTTTAACCTCCCTGGACACTGCATCACTGACCTCAGGGTAGCTGTTCTTAAGCAGCAAAATGTTAAAAGCCAGTTTGAATGGGAAGTTACATAACAAGAAATCATACCTAACACAATTTAGTCTGTGTTTGGTTTAAACAGGGACTACTGAGTCTTATCCCACTACCTAGACTAGTTTTATGTGCCTATGAGTTCTTTGACTATTACCTTCCCTCTTTGCTCCCATCTCCCCCTCCATTTCCACCGCTTTCAAAATACTCTCTCCATTCCATACACGACTCCCTAAACTTCCTATATTCTGCTCCCTGCAAGCAAGTTCCAGCTCACAAATGCTTCTGCTATATCTAATTTAGTTAGTTTATAAGGTGCAAATCTACCTTGCCTTCTACATCATCTCTGTGAGCTAATAAAGACCACTATTAGTACTCCTCCATTAAACGAATTATTGGCATGTTTGGCATGTAGTTAAATACCTAATGGAAACAAAAATTGGGTACAATTTGAGCATCTCACCCAGCTATTGTGTCATAAATATTCTTTACATATCTACCTTTATGTATATGAGAATAAACACCAGTAATTCTAGGTTTATTTTCATTACATATACAAAAATGAATTAATTGAATATAGGCAGGCAAGAAAAGACTCAAACCTGTGAAGACAAGACTCTTTGGGTAAATCTGATATCTTTTATTAGACCAACTCAGCTAGTTGGAAAAATTCTTCTTTGCAACCTTTCGGGCATAAATACCCTTTGTCAGATTGAGGAAGCACCTGCAGCTGGTGTGTGCTCTTCCTGGATGGAATTAGAGTCTCTCTCTCTTTTCTATTCCAGTTCATTTGCTGTTCTTCTCTAATTACATTAGCTTTTTAACAATCCCTTGTGCCACTGCTCAGAACGCTAGCATGTATTTAGCAGGGTGACGGAGAAAATGGAAACACTTACAGATGTCCTGCATATTCTTTTGAAGGTTTTGAAGAAACTGTAACATTTTTCTCAGGGAAGAAAGAGAAAAATAAAAAATTAGCTGTCACTGATGAAAAGTAGTTATTTTTTATTATTGTTTACCAACAAGTTTTTAAAAATACTTTCTTTTACAACACATATGTTTTAAGGTAAATAATGTAATAAATAGTATTAACTGCTATCCTATTTCCTTACCGAAACTTTTATTACTCTCCATCCTGATGTATCTTGACTGTATGACAACATTTTTTTGGAAACTTCATCCGTAATTTTCTTGAAGTCCATCTACCAGTAAAGAATTAAAAACAATTTGCTGTTTTGTGATAACGTAGCTTACAATGAAAGAAAAACACAGGGCCTGACCCTTCTTCGCACATGCAAAACCTCTAAGTACCTGTTACTCTACTTAATGAAATGCCCTGTAACCATCAGATAAGATTTCAAGGGGAAAAAGTCTTTATTTAGACAAAACTACAGTTGCCTTTAATAGGAGTTGTGCTTGAATAGGGATTATAGGATGGGACTTTAAGAAATAACTACAAAATTGGGGTACATATACTGATTGAATGAAATAATCTTACATATTATTATCTAAATCATCACCCAAGACCTGATCCTATCAAGACTCATATGCTTCACTCTGCATATGTTCATATATGCAGAGGCGGGAATATTTGAAAGCTCGTAGTGCACGGGCCAAGTCCCGGACGACTGGAAAAGGGCCAACGTGGTCCCCATTTTCAAGAAGGGGAGGAAGGAGGACCCGGGCAACTAGGGGCCAGTCAGTCTCACCTCCATCCTTGGCAAAGTCTTTGAAAAAATTATCAAGGCTCACATTTGCGAGAGCCCGGCAGGACAAATTATGCTGAGGGGAAACCAGCACGGGTTCGTGGCAGGCAGATCGTGCCTGACCAATCTAGTCTCTTTTTATGACCAGGTTATGAAACGCCTGGACACAAGAGGAGGGGTGGATGTCGTATACTTAGACTTCAGGAAGGCCTTCGATACGGTATCCCACCCCATACTGGTGAACAAGTTAAGAGGCTGTGACTTTGATGACTACACAGTCCGGTGGGTGGCGAATTGGCTGGAGGGTCGCACCCAGAGAGTCGTGGTGGATGGGTCGGTTTCGACCTGGAAGGGTGTGGGCAGTGGGGTCCCGCAGGGCTCGGTCCTTGGACCGATACTCTTTAATGTCTTCATCAGTGACTTGGACGAGGGAGTGAAATGTACTCTGTCCAAGTTTGCAGATGACACAAAGCTATGGGGAGAAGTGGACACGCCGGAGGGCAGGGAACAGCTGCAAGCAGACCTGGACGTTGGACAAGTGGGCAGAAAACAACAGAATGCAATTCAACAAGGAGAAATGCAAAGTGCTGCACCTAGGGAGGAAAAATGTCCAGCACACCTACAGCCTAGGGAATGACCTGCTGGGTGGCACGGAAGTGGAAAGGGATCTAGGAGTCCTAGTGGGCTCCAAGATGAACATGAGTCGGCAGTGTGACAAAGCCATCAGAAAAGCCAATGGCACTTTATCGTGCATCAGCAGATGCATGACGAATAGGTCCAAGGAGGTGATACTTCCCCTCTACTGGGCGCTGGTCAGACCGCAGTTGGAGTACTGCGTGCAATTCTGGGCGCCGCACTTCAAGAGGGATGCGGATAACCTGGAGAGGGTCCAGAGAAGGGCCACTCATATGGTTAAG